CTCCACGATGGGATTGGTAGAAGTCACATACGAGGACGAGCATTAGTAGTGAAGGTTTTGCGAGTACGATACTATTGGCCGACCTTATAACATGATTGCATCGAATATGCTAGAACATCTACAAACGAACGGATAAGTCAAAGCAGCTAATAAGATCATCCTAAGAGGCTTGAAGAAGAGGCTAGGGGAGAGAAAAGTATCATGGGCAGCCGAGCTATCCTAAGTGTTATGGTCTTATCACACCACCGCTCAATCGACAACCTGGGAAACTCCATTTAGCTTAGTATATGGCTTGGACGCAATGCTCCCAATCGAAGTAGTCGAACCCACAAAATGTGTAATCACCTTTTCGACCCCATTACTTCGTTGCTTACCTTAGGATCGAGCATCGCAAGTTATAGCTGAACTCCACGAAGGGATTGGTAGAAGTCACATAGGAGGATGAGCATTAGTAGCGAAGGTTTTGCAGCAGGATACTATTGGCCGACCTTATAACATGATTACATCAAATACGCTAGAACATCACAAACGAACGGACAAGTCAAAGCCGCTAATAAGATCATCCTAAGTGGCTTGAAGAAGAGGCTAGGGGAGAGAAAAATATCATGGGCAGTCGAGTTATCCCAAGTGTTATGGTCTTATCACACCACCGCTCAATTGACGACTTGGGAAACTCCATTTAGCTTAGTACATGTCTTAGACGCAATGTTTAACACCCTACCTTATAAACCTTCAATAAAAAAAATTAATAATTTATAGTAAAAATTTTTTTAAACCAATAATAATCTTTCCTTCGTACATAATATTAATATATAAATTTTCAATAACTCATTCCTGCATTTCATCATTTTAAAAAGTACTAAAAGTAAATATTCATAATTACATATAGCTAAACTACTAGTACAGTCATTCAAAATATTAAGGACAACATTGGGGATACTTCCTACAGAGCAGCTAACTACACAACAGAGTGATTACTACCCAGTACCATATAGGTCTATATACTACAAAAGACTGTCTATAAAAGTTTGGATATGTTTATCCCAATACATGTTGCCATCATTGTGGCTCTCAGCTAATGAGTATGAGTGTCATATTCATCGGGTGTGGAATCTGTGTCATCTCCACTCTCTTCAAACAATGACCGATCAGGTCCAACGAATACCGCAAGTACAAAAGAAATAAAGAAAACAGAAAGACAAGAGGGTGAGCAACAGTTCATACATCATCTTAAAATCAAACATCATAAACATTCACAAGTCAATCAAATTTCAATTGATTGATGTTAATAATGCATGATTCTAATATGTTTTTCTAAAATATTTATGCATGTGGGCCCGAATCATTTCTCAAATCAATACTGGGGTAGCCAGGAGTTGACACTACTAGGCATGGAAAGTCCACCAACGTGATTGTTGAGACCCATGCTCAAATATAAACCCAGTAGCTCACTGACCATTGATATACGGTAAGAGCACAGTCAGGTATAGGAGAGTTTGTACAGTGGGATCCCCGACAACAGGTAGCGAGTCTGGGTCTTTTGGGGCCTTCAACCACTACCCTTCCTATCCTCAAGTCCTCCCTCAGGGCCTCCCTATCGTATTCTCAGAGTCCATAATCTCTGATTCCCCAAATTTCACAAATCACCATTTTCAGATGAGTAATGTATGAGTCCCTAAGTGTTTTTTCTTAGAAAGTCACATTTTTCCAAAAGTTTTGACAGAGTTTCCCCTGTAATACGGACTTCCCAAAAATTTCCAATCACCTGTTACAAGCAGAACCGTTCAAAAAGAATTCACAACCCATCATCCAATTTTTTTCAATTTAATCTTCAATGAACTTTCTCATGAAAAACTACCATGCATATAAATGTTCACTCAGAGACAATACATATCATAATAAAATATCAAACATATATTTTACACCACCATACACGTAAACAATTCATTATCACTTTCACAACCAAGCATATAATGAAATCAAAATTATCAATCATAACAAATTTAGACAACTTCAACAAATAAGGTTAAACAAGTTTATGATGTAATCCTTACTATATAGTCTACCCCTTACTTGATACGTCCACACTTATTCCTTTCAAAGCTTGATGTTGTATTTTAGCAAAATCTATATACGTAATAAAATACTAGTTAGAATTTTATATTTCTATGTTTCTATCTCATGAGAATTTAAATTCTCTTTGTGTTGTTAATCCATTTCTAATAATATTTTAAGTTCACATTCAACTTACAATTATCTTAGAAAATTATCCTATTTTGTATGCACTTAGAGTAGGAAAAATCCTAATAGCAAACATGGACAAGATTCAGTGTTTCGAAGTTTTCTAGAGTTATATAAGCTATTTTGGCATGAGATTTGAGCCAAAATTTCAAAAACTTAATTACCTACAATATTGATCAAGGAAATAAATTTAAATTCCCTATAGAATAGATGCAGTTTTCTGTGGTTGTTTCCAACTAGGCTCAACTACAATAACACTCTAAACATGCCTTGGTAATTGTATTATAAATCATGCTACACATAAGCTATTAACATGAAACAAATTTCTAAATTTCGGGAATATAATTTCCTACAAATTTTATGAAGGAATAAAGTCCTAATTTCATACATATCAATCCCAGTAATTCAAAAACCGAGGCTGTTGAAACAAGACTATCTCTTAACGTCACAACTAGAACACTTGACAGTAAAATGGGCATAACATGAGTTACAAATATCCGTTTAATGTGAAACCAGTTTCTAAATTTCGACAACTTAAAGAGATACAACTTTCATGAAGATACTAATTTCTAATTCTGTTCACACAAGTCTCAGAAATTCAATGAACAGTACCTACGAATTAGGATTCTTAAAGTTTTTAGCTTAACCACTTCTAATCCTCAATTTTAATCATTATTCTAGTATCCTAGGTGTAAAACCTACAATAACACTCTTCCTACACCCATTCAAGCTCAGTCAAGTGAGGAGAAAAATAGAAAATGCATCGTTTTGAAAAATAAAACCGTAGAAATATAGAGGAGATTGAGATAAACAAACTTACCTTTTGGAGCTCCTCAAGAAATTCAAGCTTGAAGGTAATGAAAGTTTTGAGAGAAAGAGAAATGAGGAACCTACGAAAAACTTGCAAAATGACACTTTCTTTTAAAAGTCAAATTTCTAATTCCTATTACACCTAAATTTCTGCTCAATGGATTAGAGTACGAAAAATTTATGCTTTATTTTTTTTTTCTTTTTACCCTAGTCAGGATTTGAACCTACAACCCCTAAGACTCAAACATTACTCCAAATCATATCAGTCATCATATGTTTCTTGTCAACTCACACACATAGTACAATTTTAATGTACTCACACTCAATGCATACATGAAAACAATAATTTATGAACGTGGCAATTAAAATTTGTTAAGTCCCTAAGCATGCTCAACGCACACACATGAGTATTTTCTAACAATTATAAAATAATAGAAAAATTATAATTGTTCTAATGCACATATAAGAATTGAACTCATGACCCTCCAATATTATGACAAGGGTCTAACCAAATGATCCACTCCTTATCTCTGTAATATTATTAAATTCTTAATTTAATTACTTCTCTTACTTTCAATTTAATTACTATCTCGGTACCCAGTTGCTCGCAAAATTGATCAATTTTGAGTATTTTCTAAAAATTCTAAAAAAAATTATAGAAAATCATAAATAATTTAACAAACATAAAACTCTATAGTTACTTTACCCAATTCCTAATAATTTAATTATTAAAATTTTGACAAATATTTTGTCAAAATTTAACAAATCAGAGATAATGAGAATTAGGATGTTACACCATTCTCCCGATCGAAATCGCCGAACCCACAGAACGTGTAATCACCTTTTCGTAAGAAAGATCAGAGAAAGCGAATAAAGCGGGCCTTGATTGCATCAAAGAATTGAGAGAGTAGGCTCACATCTGAATAGAGGTTGCAAAGTGCCACACTACCCTCCCGTATGCCACTTGAGTTCGCCCCATAACATTCAGGATATCTAATCTAGTCCTATGATGAGCTCAACCACACCAAATCCACAATAAACTCTTTGCACAGTGGATTGACCCATACCATATAACAGAAGTAATCAGAAACAGAACATACAAATTTGAGACTCTAAGCGGCACACCAATCCCTAGAACATGGAACGCAACTAGCTTCCAATTTTACTACACTTGAGAATATTTGCATGTTCCTTTTCTTTTTCAGGAATAAGCAGATGTAATAATTTCTCTTAGATGTTTTTTCTTCCCCTCTCAGGATTTTTCCTCCGAGGAAGCTCAATAAAATAATAAATTTGTGACGAGGATTTTCTACAACTGACCAATAAGAGGTCATAATTTTCTACAACAGCCCCAAAGTGGCCAAGATTTTCTACAACCAACCAATAAGAGGTTAGAATTTTCTACAATGGCCCCAAAGTGACTAAGATTTTCTACAACTACCACCAAATAGGCTAGGATTCTCTCAAAACACCACAAAGACTGGTGAGAAGTTAAAAAACAAAACAACATAATTCTTTACAAATAAAAACAATGTCAAAATTACATTTCCAAATGTCAAATTATTTAGAAAACAACTAATCAATCTTCGTCGTCCACAATCCTCCCATCTACCATGCTCCTAAAGGGACCCATGGTAGATAAATTAGTTTCGAGGAAGAGTACCACTATTTGCTCCATAGCACCTACAAATCTGATAGCATACATCTTGCCAATTTTTCTTTTAGTAGCATCCTTGGAACTCTCATCAGTCTTTTCCTTGGCCAATATGTTTATTCTCTCTTCCATGTAGCTCACCTCAACACGGTGTCTTTGACGAAGGGTTTCATGCGCTTCCAACTCCAACTCCAACTTTTGAAGGGACTCGTTCGCTACCATTTGAGCCTAGAGGGACTCGTCTAACTTCTCCAAAGCTTATAGTTTCTCTAACTCCACAGGTTGCCATTTCTCCTCAGCGCTCGCTTTGGAATCCATAACTTTCTTCTCGACATGAGTTGGAAGCGAAGTAAGAGACGCAAGTAGGCCTTGAAGAGCCCCGAATCACTGTAGCACATTGTCCATCTCGTGTAGCCTCGGGAACATTTGGGTGTCTGTTGTAGGACCCTCTAGTCTTTCCACCAGTGGAGGCATGGAGGTTATAGCTGCAGGCTTAGGCACAACAAAGATTTTTTGTTTCCTAGTCAATCGAGCATCACTTTTAGGAGTAAACGCTTCTCCGACCACCACAGCCTTCAAAGGCTATTGCTCTAGAGCCATGACTTCATGTAACCGACAACTCATCTCTTTCTTCAACAACGTCATTTTCTTTTCTACACAAACCATAGAACAATAAGATAATCCATGCCACAAACTTTAAAGATAAGTGAGAAGTATAGGGTACCTATATATACATTTTAAGACCTATTACTCAGAATTCTAATTTAAGAAGGGTAGAGGTATCAAACACGATGTTTAGTTCTTCAAGCATGAAGCAGTTATCTACCTCATTTTGCTCCAGCTCTTAACTATTTGGTAGTTTGGAAATGGGGATTGGTAGTCCAATAGAGAGGAAACCCTTCTACTAGGGATGAATCAGATTTAGGCGCTCAGATTTTCAAAAAATGCCTTTTAAAGTGCTTATAGGATTATTAAAACAAATTCAACAAAGCTCGTTCAGGGGTCCCACTAACGGATAATTAGGATGTCCTTTTTGAAGATTTACACTCAAAGAAGTAAAAAAAATATATTAGAAGTTGGAACGACACCAAAATGGGTGGAAAGGATATGGAACACTTGCACAAAAGCCCAGTTGTTTGGATGCAGCTGAGCAGGGGCAACATTAATCAGAGTCAAAACTTCTTTCTCAAAATTATACATGGGCAGACGCAATCCTAATTTAATGAATAAGGTATGATAAATAAAAATGAATGGCTCCGGAACATTGATCCCAGCAAACGAGTTTAGAGGGGTCATACACTTGCAAAATCCCATCCTTATCATTCCTAGAACGACTCAGTTATTTTCTATTTCGCAATTGCCTCAAAAGATTTGCGGAGGTGTAACCAGAAGTTTCATGCAAAATTTTAGATTTTGCCCAGGGATGTAAACAATGTCACTCACCTCTTAAATCGATTTACCAACCATTTTTGTTTCAGGACAATCAGAACACGCGAAGAAGATCAAACGACAACAAACAAAAGGAAACAAAGTAACAAGCAAAAGCTAGGGACAATTGATAATAGACACAACACATTTGGACAGTAAGTCTACAAGATAAATGAAGCGCTGAGGGAGAAATGCAAACAAGAAATAGAGGGATAATTAGGAGATGGTAAGAAAAAGTGGCAATGAAGGCAAACAAAAAGGGAAAATAAAGAGCCCACGGAAGACAAAGGGACAAAGGGTACCACATGTAGGGGTGTCAAAGTGAGTCAACCTGACTCACACGGTTTGGCTCACCACGGGTTGAGCTGAAAATAGGTGACCTTAACCCGATTTACTTTTTGGCGAGTTAGAAATTTTACAACCTGGCTCAACCCACCACGGGTTGATGGGTTAGGTGGGTTGGCTCACTAATCCATATTTTTTTAATTTTTAAATTATATAGAAACTTCGGATGTAGAAACTTATGCTTTCTTCCTTTCTTTCTCAACATCGGTATCTTCGTTATTAACTAAAATTGACTCATTGGATTTTTCATTAATAATAAAATCATCACCAATACAATTTACATTGACACTTTGATGTATTGTTTCGATTCCATACTCGTAAATTAATTTAAAAGAAAAAAGTCAAAAATTTATATATTAAAGAGATATACATATAAATCAATAACAAATAACAAATAATGTATAGATGCTACAATTTTCAAATAAAGATTCATCAATCCAATAGTTTAGGTTATGAAACAAATTCTTACCTTTGAAAGCAATACAGTGGACATGGTGTAGTGGTATGGTAGACAGATAATAAGACAAGTGACCCAAGTGCAGCGACAAACGTAGTGGTGCAGCGAATAACTAATAACAAGTTTAAGTGAGAGTTTGACTTGTGACGACAACCAACAATGTAAGGTAGAGATAAAACAGGATAACATCAATTAGGGTTATTAAAGTATTATAATTATTTTTAAAATTTAAAATAAATGATTAATTAGGGTTAATATATTATTATAATTATTTTTAAAATTTAAAATTAATAGTAGGTTGTGGGCCAATCCACCATAATCCGACTCGAACCCGTTTAATCCATGGATTAAATGAATTAAGTTCATTTTTAACTCATAATTAATAAATATAAAAAAAAATTAACTCAACCCACCTCAAACCCGTGGTGAGTGAGGATGACTCAAATATTAGAATCCATATTAATATTCCTAACCTGACCCCGCGTGCACAACAAGATAGGACATGACGTTTCGACAGCTCAAATACGTGGCAAAAACTTTTCTCGCCAAGCGACGCACCACAAGGTATGTCTAAGGATCGAGAGGCCATGTCTTTGCAATACCGATCTAAGGGTAAATGTAGGATCATCCTTGAAGCCTCGATGTTTACGTAGTTAAAGCTGGGGCTGTGCAGTAACCAAATTACTAGGCCTCATAACGTGGGCGATCTTATTGATCGGACACATGATGAGGTACTTCGATTTGTTATACCTCTGAGATTCTAGCATAGAAACTTGTCGATAATCTACAAATTCGGATAAAAATCAGCAATCAAACATGGATAATGGGAAAGAAAACCCAAGATACAAGGCCATTATAAAGAGAAATTAGGGTTGGAGGAAAGGACAAATTGAAGTGATTCAACTTGACAAAAGGGCATTATATATTTACTATTTTTCCATGTGAATATGCTTATACTTAATTTTCTATATTTATTATTACATAAAAAGTGTTTAATAAAATATTTATGAAACATAAGATATTAAAAAAAATTAGCGTGAATTTTTTATGGCGATTATATAAAAATCTATTATAATAAGTAAAATTTATTATTTTGATTATTTAACCATTAAGATACAAATATAATTATTTATCTTCTGAAATTACTTACATTATTATCGTAACAATTTTAAAAAAAGTATCATAAAAATTTTAAAAATAATTTCATAATTTTTTATATTAATTAAGAGAAAAATTATTTTTCCTCTCTAGACTTTTTTCTTACAATAGTAAAACAGTAAAAAAAATGGAATAAGTTTTAGTGTGTTCTACTAATTACCAAAATATAATTCCCTATGAAACTCCACTTCTCACGTTAATCAATATTACAAAACGCCAAGATCATCAAAACTATCAAGGTCCGGAATATCTGCACCTGTGCATGTGAAATTTACATCAAGTCCAAAGCAGTAGAAGCAAACTGCCTAAAGAATATGCTCAGTTATCTAAACGTCAAGTGCATAACAACAAATTAACCAGTCATCCCATTAGACATATATAGCTAAACACGGCGCAAATCCAACAACCACCACCTTTTTTTTCCTTTTTGATTGCTCATAGAATACAATGATTTATCTTCATCACAAATTCTGTCACAGCCAAAATTTTAGTTAACACAAAACATTGTTGTTCAATGATGCGCTCGTTAACTAAAATTAGTAAGGTTACATAAGGTCTTGTCGTTGATATAACACAGGCATGAGACACAACATATAGTGGAAAAATTTAGGCAATTTAAACTTACCTGTCCTGCGATTTTTTTATCCTACAAAAAATTCTAAATTTTATGATATCATTATATATCAATATTTTGAAAATCTTGAAAATCAAATCGGACTTACTTCAACCTGCCTAACCCAAAAATCGGTCTAAAAATTAGTATGTTACTTTTAAATAACTAAATTTTAATTAAATCGGAATAAAATAAAAAAAGCACAAAATTGATAAAATCAATAGGAATTTTGAATTAAAACGATTTTGGTAACAATAAAGTTTAAAACTTTTCTTAATAATTTTTTTTATAAAATAAGTAATATCTTTTACTTTTTTTCCTTTTATTTCTCATATTAGTTATGTCAACTTTAAATAATAATTATTTTATTATATTTTGATCTTATTTTAATTATTATCCATTTTTATTGTAACTTACGGTTATTTGTTCTCTAATATATTTTATATTTGTAACATTTATTATAACCTAGAGTTCACTCTCTAATATATCTTATGTTAATAATTTTCATTATAACTTATAGTTTATCTTACGTCTCTAATATATCTTATATTTATATCTTTATTATAACTTAGTTCATCTTACACTCTCTAATATATTTTATATTTATAACATTCATTGTGACTTATGGTATAATCTTTATTATTTTCTTTTTTTCTTCTAAAAAATATTATTACTAATGAACTTAATTATTATATACTTATTATGTCATACAAATATTAATTTATTAAATTTTATTGGATTCGATTAAACATTTAAATTATGAATTCATGTGTTCATTGATTCGAGTGGCCGATTTTAAAGTATTATATATTATACGTAGAGAGAAATTTTTTTAGGAAACTAATTTTGTTAATATAAAATTTCATTTTTCTATAACTAAATAAATTATTAAAATATGTTTCTTGATCTTAAAGAAAACTTTACAAATTACCTTCTTAGCTCAAAACAAATTATATAAATTAATTAGAAAAAACGTCATGAAGAACATCACCTGTCTTTATCCCGAGAATTACCCTACTAGTAGAAAAATACAAGAAAAACAATCAACATAAGAATATAACGTGAAAACTTCAAAATCGTAAAAGAACCACAACTGTTATCTAATGATAACCAGAGAATAATACTATGTGAAAAAATTTACAACATATAGACAACTCTCTCATGCCATTTGACCCCAAATACACTCACACTCTCCAAGCAAGAATTTAAACTAAACCTCTCAACACTCTACTATAAGAGTATAAGAAAAGTCAAATACATGCTTAAAGTGTCTTTGACTTGGGTGAGAAACATCATGGACTTTAAGCCCATTATATAGCTACTGTCACCCACTCTATTGTTTATCCAATGTGATGTGAGACTTTTTAAGATGTATTATTTTCATCAATTCAACAATCTCCACCATGATTAAAATAAACACATCTTTCTTTTTATCTCCGTTGTCTACACCAACAATCATTCACACTCCACCATAAAAAGTATACTCACTTGAAATAAAACCATTCCAAGAATTTTTCTTTCACTGCACAACTGCATCAATGCTGACTAATGTTCGTGTATAATCATCACACACCCTGCATCAATATTAGTCAATGCTCGTGCATACCTGCATCAATAATAACCAATGTCTGTGTATAATCACCATACACCCTAGAACGATATTAGTCAATGCCCTTGCACAATTACTACTAGCAAAAAAGGTGGTTATGCCATGAGGATACTTAACTCCATGTCAGAAGTTATTCCTTTCAATACCTTGTGTGATAAATTGTATCAACACATCTCTCTATGTCACATTTGACAACACTTACAAATGATATTGCAACTTCAATGATGATTATCTAACAACAAGCAATTAATCTTTCTTGTGTGAAAGATCAGACTACACTACAACCACAAAGCATACTAAGAATATCCTATTGAACCATAAGCTCTAATACCACTCTGCTGCGAAAAAATGTCATGAAGAACATCATTACAAAGCATACTAAGAATATCCTACTGAACCATAAGCTCTGATACCACTCTGATGGGAAAAAACGTCATGAAGAACATCACTGTCTTTATCCCCGAGAATTACCCTACTAATAGAGAAATAAGAGAAAAACAATCAATACAAGAATATATCAATACAAAAAATGTCATGAAGAACATCACCGTCTTTATCCCTGAGAATTACCCTACTAATAGAGAAATAAGAGAAAAATAATCAATACAATAATATATCAATATAGGAATATAACGTGGAAATTCCAAAATCGGAGAAAACAACACAAGAATATAACATGGAAATTTCAAAATCGAAGAAAAACCACAATCGTTATCTGATGATAACCAGAGAATAATACTATGTGAAAAATTTTATAACACATAGACAAATCTTCTCATGCCCCTTTGACCCCAAATACACACACTCTCAAAAGTAAGAATTCAAACTAAATTTATTAACACTCTATTACAAGAGTATAAGAAAAGTCAAATACATGTTTAAAGTATAGTTGACTTGAGTGAAAAACATCATGAACTTTAAACCCATTATATAGCTACTAGTACCCAACAAAATGTATTATTTTCATTAACCCAACAAAATGTATTATTTTCATTAACCCAACAAAACATATACTTTAAATATGAAAATTACATTGAATATGTTAGAAAAAGAGGCTGAGATCAAGAGGGGGGGGTGAATTGATCTTTGAAAGATTTTCGCAATTAACAGATTATCTATTTCAAAGATTAAGTAATCTGACCAATTCTTGAATCACACAGCAAGCAATCAAAAAATAAATGCAGTCACAGAATTAAAGAAGAGAAAAGGTTTAGAAAGATATCACCAAAGTTTATACTGGTTCACCCAATCCCAGGGCTACGTCCAGTCTCCAGCCAAATTCCAGCTGGGTTCCACTAGATTGAATGTTTTACATATTACAACCTTAATCACACACTCAATCTAACACAAGAACCACAATTCCAGTTCCTGCACCTAACCTTTCACCAAGAACCAAATTCCAGTTCTTGAATTACCCTGCAGCCAAATTCTAGCTACAGAAACCAGTGCCCACAATTCCAGGCACCCACAATACAGTAAAAGAAAGTAAAGAAACAAACAGAAGAAACTAAAATGCTCAAACCAGTTTTATGCAGTTCTGCAATATGTTGTTTCTTCTTCAAAGGAATGCAATTTTGCCTCAAGAAAGATCTTTGATGAACTTCACAAAAAGTAATTCTTTCTTGAAAGTATCACTTTTGATTGCTTGATTGATTGCTAAAAGATGTATATCAGATGTGTGTTTAAAAAGTTCAAGCAACTCTGTTTTTATAGAAGATTTCAAAACTACTGGTTTAATTAATCTGTTAAAATAATCTTTTAATCTGTTAAAAGTCTTGTTTTAATCTGTTAAAACTTCTTTTAATCCATTAAAACGTTCTTGATTATTTTCCAGATTTGTTTTAACTGATATGACAACGTTTATATCAATTAAAACCCTTTGTAAAAAATCTTCTAATTTGTTTTAATCGATTGTTTCGTGTTTCAATCGATTAAAATACTGCAAAACTTTCTTGTAAACTTTTCCAAGTGATTTTAACTGATAAAAAATCGTTTTAATCGATTAAAACGCTTAGTTCAAGTTTTCTTAAGTTGATTTAATCGATTGAAACGAGGTTTAATCGATTAAAATAGTTCTGATCGGTCATAATCCAATTTTGATCGATCATATTCGGTTCTGATCGATCATAACTCAATTCTGATTGATCATAATTGGTTCTGATCGGTCATAAACCCATTCTGATCAGTCAAACAGTACTCCAAGTGGTTTTAATCGATTATTTCGAAGTTGTATCGATTAAAATACTGCCAGAACACTTCTCTGAACATTTTAAGTGATTTTAATCGGTTATTTCGAAACTGTATCAGTTAAAATACTGACTGAAGGTTTTCAAAACTTCCCTTAATGAAAACAATCAGTTATTTCGAAGTTATATTAGTAAAAAGCTTGTTATAAAAGTATGAAGAACATTTTAGTTGATAAAGCTTATATTCTATTAGTTAAAATAGTTGATTAAGAAAGCTTTTATCAAAATACATTGGTTTTGATCGTTAAATTTCTTTTAGAGGCATTTTGCAAAAACTTTTAAGTGAAGAAACCTCATGCAGCAGAAGAGATAAAAAAGATTATACCTAAGAAGAACTATATACACACTAATCCTTCTACTCTTTTATCCAAGTGACCTTTGACTGCCACAAAGTAGCTTGTGACTTTATTCTTGACTTCATCAAATCAACAAGATCTTTGCTAAGTTCATTCAATAAGATCTTCATTACTTTCAGTCTCCCCCTATTTGATGAAGACAAACATCATTTTGAAAAATAACTCTGCAGAAGAAGTCACTTGATAAAATAGATTAGTTAATCAAAAAAGTTAATCAGTTTATTCATTTCTCCCCCTAAATTTATCAGAAGTAAAGCAATTATTTATCAGAAGTAAAGCAATTATTTCTCCCCCTTTTGACTTCATCAAAAATAGGGAATAGAGGAACAATATGATGCATGGTGTGTAACAGGTCTTAGATTTTGAAAATAGTAAACAAAAATTTGGATACGATACTTTACTTATGTAAAGACCAATCAAAGTTGATTCAAACTTATCTTCATTAACACGTTTGTAATGAATACAATTAACACGTGTAAAGATAAGGGAACCACACTTTAGTAGCATGTTACAAGAACAACCATTAACTAAAGCCTTTAATTTTTCCTCCTA